TATGTCTAGAAACAGTTTCTCTTTCTATTTAGACTGAAGAAGCCTCAAGTTATAATGAGTATCCGAAGGTATTAAAAATATTGTAAGATTTGAGAAGTCCTAACATTTCTTTCTCTCAATATCCTAAACTGTTAAGTTTCATGCTGTTGGCCAGAGTAATTATATATGTGTTATATATACAATTTGAAACATAAAATGTTTTAGGACTTTGACTCTTTGTTAGGTAAAATCTACATGGAGAAGCCAATAAGAAAAATGAAAGATACTGTGAAGAAAAATTTAAAAACACAAAGCACTATGTTGAATTAAATTCCACAACTTAAAATGCTTTAAAAAGTTTTTTTAGGGACACGTGGGTGGCTCAGCAGTTGAGCATCTGCCTTCAGCCCAGGGTGTTATCCTGGAGTCCTGGGATCGAGTCCCACGTTGTGCTCACTGCATGGAGCCTGCTTATCTCTCTGCCTATGTCTCTGCCTTTCCCTCTGTCTGTCATGAATAAATAAATAAAATCTTAAAAAAAATTTTTTAAAGGTCTTCTGAACCAACTCCCCCTCCACACACACAAAAGCCTTAACTGTCAAATTGTATTCTGTCAATGAAAAATATCTTTAATCTGTAAATTTTTAGAAATCTTATGAGATTAGAAATGAAAGCACAGTGACTGATACGGTAGGCCCTCAGCAAACATTTAGGGAAGAAAGATGGAAGAATAAATGAAAGTAGATAAATGATAAGTTCTAATGAGGGCTGATGTTGAACTTGTAGGACTCATTCATTCAAGTCATTTAAAAGAGCCTTTCTATAATACATTTCCCTGAGATGTCAGTTTTCATTCCTGGTGACGTGTCATTAACGTTATCTTCTGAACTCTTATAATATTCAATTATAGTTTATTTTGCTTTAATATATAATAAAAGTTCAGTCGCCTTTAAGACTAAAAGAATGTACAAAAATGACCTTCTAAAATAGTTTTACATTTAAAAAGCAACTGAAAAGAAAATAGTTAATTATGAGCTTGTTCTTAGCTCCCATGAATAGGACCATATACATGAATGTCCACCCTAAAAAGAGGAGAATTAGTTATTGACAATGCATAGACTGTCAAGAGTATATACTGCAACAAGAGTTTGTATGGCTTATTTATTATTTCATCTCATCTCTGCATATGTAGAGATATTCAGTGTGGATAATTAGAAAGAGATGCCAAGCCTAAACACAAAACTTGGGTTCTATCGTTACCCATCATTTATTAGCTGTGTGATCTCTGGCTGATGGGTCTCAATACTCTTATAGTAAAAAAAAAGGGAATTTAAGTTATCTTCCAGCTAACCCCACAAGGTCATTATTAACATAAAATAAACAATGAATAAGAAAAGGCTTTAAAACCATAAAGCATTAAGATATAAGATATTATTACTGCCTTACTATCCTGAAAACAATCTATGCCAAAGAGTCCATTAGTGAAAATACCATAATCATTTCCAAAGACATGAGAAAAAAATCAATATTACAATGAAGAAAGGCAAAATTTCCACATCTCCATTGTGCTTCTCATACTGACAATTTCTTCCTACAGATCTGGAGAAATAAAATTTGACTTGCTCACTACTATAACAAGTCTCCTTATTTTCAAAAGCTTCCAGAACAAATCTAGTTCAAATGTGGTTGTTTCTGGCATATGGCTATATAAATAATGAAATGAGCTCAGAAAAGAGTTTCTAATTAAACAAAGATATAATTTAAGAAAAGAGAAGAAGAATTTCAAACTGAAAAGTGGCATTATTAGGTTAATGTCCCCCAAAATAAGTTGTCATCTTAAATATTTCTAATCCTGTAGGTAACATATGGATATAGGCCTCCCTTTGCTCTACCAGAGAAAGTCGATTTAACTGATTAATTGGCAGAAGTTATGTTTTCTTAGTTTTCAACTGACTGATTTATGGGAACATGCAGAAAAATATTTTGTACTTTGTACTTTAGGCTTTTTCTCCATTTTGGAAGAAAGAGGAAGTAGATTTCTATTTTAGTTGTATTCAGGTATCCTTCCTATGTACTCCCGTATCAGCTATACAGTGAATTGTAACCATCTGTTTACTTGGGCTTCTCCCTCCAGACTAAAAACTTAAGGAGGGATGAGAACATGTCCAGGTCATTTTTTATTCTCATGCTATTAACACAGTAACTGGAACACAGAAGGTACTCATTAAATGTTGACTGAATAAATTAAGGAATAAACTGCAGATATAATATTAGACTGACTTTTCTTTAATGCCTAATGTTCCTTTGGATTATACTCAAATTTAGTCTTTGGATTTTAGTAATATAGGCAACATGCATTCTGTGTAATAGATTTATGCAAGTTAAAGCAGCTGAATATTGAAATTAGTAAATTAAACAGATTGAATTGCTTAAATTATATGTAGAGAAGATGAATATATACATTTATTAATATAACTCAGTTATCCTTTCATTCAAAGCATTTCTGGAGAATTTACTACATTCTAATTACCGTGCCCAGGAGCTGAGAATGGAAAGGCAGACAGGCCTCCAGATCTCAAGGAGATGAATACTGGTTGAGGCAGAGAATCAAGTAAATATTCTGACAGAGATGTGTGCTAGGACCATGGGATCACTGTGGATGGCAGGGAGGTACAGCCAGAGGGGAGGGGCTATACAGAAGGCTTCACAGAGAGGTGATGCATGAACTAAGGTTTGACAAAAACAGAGTTAGCTTACAACAAAGAAACAGGAATTCTAGACAGGGAGAAGATGAGGTGCCCAGAGCCCTGCTGACAGAGTGAAGGCTGTCTGCAGAACTGCAGAAGATGAGGAGAAACAAAGAGAAAGAGAAGAGAGACCACAGATTGTGGAGGGTCCTATGGGCCAAATTTAACAGGAATCTTCAGTGAAGAAGGAGCTGTAGGAGATTCTCTCCTAAAGGGACTCAATCTACTTACAAGAGATTAGGAATAATAGCTAGAAGGTCCGGTTTAAAACAAAACAACAAAAAAGGACTCAATCATAAACAAATAATGGCATCTTACCATTTGCAAACAACACTGATAGACCTAGAAGGTATTATGTTAAGTGAAGTAAGTTACACAGAAAAAAAGGCAAATACCATATGAATATAAAAAGTAAAACAAATGAACAACAAATAGACTCATAGATACAGAGAATGCACTGGTGGATGCCAGAGGGGAGATGGGTGAAATAAGTGAAAGAGAGTAAGAGGTATGAACTTCCAGTTATAAAATAAATAAGTCAGAGATGAAAAAGTACAGCATAAGGAATATTATAAGTAATATAATAACTGAGTACGGCAGTAGATGATAACTACACTCACTGCAGTGAGCATCTTGTTATGTATAGAACTGTTGAATCACAATGTTATATGCCTTAAATGAATATAATATTGTATGTCAACTATACATCAATTAGAATAAAAATTTTTAATTAAAAAGTGGAATTTTACACTAAGGAGGGCACTTGGTGGGATGAACACTGAATGTTATACTATATGTTGGCAAATCGAACTTCAATTGAAAAAAAATAACAAAAAAGTGGAATTTTCGATCAGCAAACAGATGAACTGATGAAAAAAGAAAAGCAAAAACACTTTTAATTCAAGATAACTTAATATGTTATCTGAACTTCATGATCCAGTTTTTAGATAAAATCATGTCTCAGGGAACCTGGTTGGCTCAGTCAGTAGAGCAAGTGACACTTGATCTTCGGGTTATGAGTTTGAGTGTAGAGATTACTTCAAAATAAAATCTAAAAAAAAAAATCACATCTCTAAAATGATAAGATGAAAATAATTAGGTGTGACTTTGAAATGCAAATTTTTTATAATTTTGAAAAATAAATAATATTTTACTTAAAAAAATGCTTCTCTCTCACTAGAGACTACATCTTCAAATATATTTATCCCTGTCACTGAAGCACCTATCTTAGAACGAGTCTACAGTATTTGCAAAATGATCATTCAGCAGACCACTATTGCTGGTAGGCAAAAAGCCCCAGAATGAAGAGCTCAGGCATGCTCCAGTTGTCCTGTACATTTGCAGGAAGAGCTCACCAGCAGTCCAACTGATGGAGTATATATCTAAAAGTAGTATGGTATTTTAAAATACAGCACATATCAAAACTGCAACTTGGTTTTGGATTGCTTATTTTCATGTGATAAAGACATAAGTATCCATTTAAAAGAAGGAATGTCTAAGTGCCTGTTTTACTGATGTAATAAAGTTACTTCTTAATTGTTAGTGACTAATGGAACATAAGTTATTTTCAGGGAAAAATAAAAGTCAAACATTAATCTGAATTTCAGTAAAGAATGACAACATACAGGCACATCTATGGCAAGTTAGACAATCTCTTCCAAACACTGGGAAATTCAAGTCACTTTACACAAAGGAGACTAGGGAAAGAAATATGAATGAAAAAGGGGAAATCCAGCTAAATACCACTACTATTCGGTCATTTCATGAACATGAATTTGTTTCTAAATGTTGTGTCCTGGGGACCCGAGGAACCATAGGCTAATTCATCTGATTGTAACTGAACAGTATTATTTACTTATAACCATTTAATTTTTCTTCTCTAAGAGAAAAAGCAAGCCACTATCACTGAAAGATTTTTCATCTTTTTCCCTAGAACTAATTGTCAAAGAGAATGACAAATATGATAAACAAAATTACCAAATGTGAACAAGTAAAGATTGGAAATAACAAAAAAAAATACTGGAAGCATATTCATTATGTTTGATATAATACCAGCCTTCTAAAGATTCAGTTTCTCAGCCTGTCCAATGTGTGGGCCAAGGAGAGTCATAACAAGGACAAAGTCATCAAAACATATTGAATTAATTGTAAACTCTAAACAATATTATATGTAAGAAAATCACAATCAGTTAATGGATATTTAATTATGGTATTTTTTTTTCCTTTGGACTAATTCTTCTTCTCTTTTTTCTTTTATGTTCCATTTCATTATAGTCAGCATCATGCTGCTATTCCTGCAAGTATTGAACAAGCATGGGATTTGAATATTACACTCCTAAATAAATGAATTGCTCAATTTCCTGTGACCATCTATACATACTCCATCTTCAGAAAGTTTACCAATATTCTACCATAAAGGGGACAGTGATCTTTTTTCCAATATGTATGACATTTCTGGACAAGACAATTGTGACACAAGCACTTATTTCCATGAAGAAAAACTTTGCAGTTTTATGGCATTCATCATTTGACAAATGCAACTATTTTCCTTATCAATCAACTCTTACTGAACTTCCTAGCAGTCACTGTGGAATCCTTAAGGACCCATTAAATTTCTGAAGAAGGAAGCTAAGATGAAGGACATGCCACTCCGAATTCATGTGCTACTTGGCCTAGCTATCACTACACTAGTACAAGCTGTAGATAAAAAAGCGGATTGCCCACAATTATGTACATGTGAAATCAGGCCTTGGTTTACACCCAGATCCATTTATATGGAAGCATCTACTGTGGATTGTAACGATTTAGGTCTTTTAAATTTCCCAGCCAGATTGCCTGCTGACACACAGATTCTGCTCCTACAGACTAACAATATTGCAAAAATTGAATACTCCATAGACTTTCCAGTAAACCTTACCGGCCTGGACTTATCTCAAAACAATTTATCTTCAGTCACCAATATTAATGTAAAAAAGATGCCTCAGCTTCTTTCTGTGTATTTAGAGGAAAACAAACTAACTGAGCTTCCTGAAAAATGTCTGTCTGGACTGAGCAACTTACAAGAACTCTATATTAATCACAACTTGCTTTCTACAATTTCCCCCGGAGCTTTTATTGGCCTACATAATCTTCTTCGACTTCATCTCAATTCAAATAGATTGCAGATGATCAACAGTAAGTGGTTTGACGCTCTTCCCAATCTGGAGATTCTGATGATTGGGGAAAATCCAATCATCAGAATCAAAGACATGAACTTTAAGCCGCTTATCAATCTTCGCAGCCTGGTTATAGCTGGTATAAACCTCACAGAAATACCAGATAATGCCTTGGTTGGACTTGAAAACTTAGAAAGCATCTCTTTTTACGACAACAGGCTTATTAGAGTGCCCCATGTTGCTCTCCAAAAAGCTATAAACCTCAAATTCTTGGATCTAAATAAAAATCCCATTAATAGAATACGGAGAGGTGATTTCAGCAATATGCTACACTTAAAAGAGTTGGGAATAAATAATATGCCTGAGCTGATTTCCATCGACAGTCTTGCTGTGGATAACCTGCCAGATCTAAGAAAAATAGAAGCTACAAACAACCCAAGGTTGTCTTACATTCACCCAAATGCATTTTTCAGACTACCCAAGCTGGAATCACTCATGCTGAATAGCAATGCCCTTAGTGCCCTGTACCATGGTACAATTGAGTCTCTGCCAAACCTCAAGGAGATCAGCATACATAGCAATCCCATCAGGTGTGATTGCGTCATCCGTTGGATTAATATGAACAAAACCAACATTCGATTTATGGAGCCAGACTCACTATTTTGCGTGGACCCACCTGAATTTCAAGGCCAAAATGTTCGGCAGGTGCATTTCAGGGAAATGATGGAAATCTGTCTCCCTCTTATAGCTCCTGAGAGCTTTCCTTCTAATCTGGATTTAGAAGCTGGGAGCTATGTTTCCTTGCATTGTAGAGCTACTGCAGAGCCACAGCCTGAAATCTACTGGATAACACCTTCTGGCCAAAAACTCTTACCTAATACTCTGAAAGACAAGTTCTATGTACATTCTGAAGGCACACTAGATATAAATGACATAACCCCATCAGAAGGGGGCCTATATACTTGCATAGCAACTAACCTGGTTGGTGCTGACTTGAAGTCTGTTATGATCAAAGTGGATGGTTCTTTTCCCCAGGATAACAATGAGTCCTTAAATATTAAAATAAAAGATGTTCAGGCCAATTCAGTTCTGGTGTCTTGGAAAGCAAGCTCTAAAATTCTCAAATCCAGTGTTAAGTGGACAGCCTTTGTCAAGACTGAAAATTCCCATGCTGCCCAAAGTGCTCGAATACCATCTAATGTCAAGGTGTATAATCTTACTCATCTGAACCCATCAACTGAGTATAAAATTTGTATCGATATCCCCACCATCTATCAAAAAACCAGAAAACAATGTGTAAACGTCACCACAAAAGGTTTGGACCCTGATCAAAGAGAATATGAAAAGAGTAACACCACAACCTTTATGGCCTGCCTTGGAGGTTTACTAGGGATTATTGGTGTGATATGTCTTTACAGTTGTCTCTCTCAAGAAATGAACTGTGATGGTGGACATAGCTATATGAGGAATTACTTACAGAAACCAACCTTCACATTTAGTGAGCTTTATCCTCCTCTAATCAACCTCTGGGAAACAGGCAAAGAAAAAAGTACAGCATTGGAAGTGAAAGCAACTGTTATAGGAGTGCCAACAAATATGTCCTAAAAGCAACTAACTAAACCTACTTCAAAGAAAAGCTTAAGACTGCAGCTGTGCTTGGAAAAAAAAAAGGCAGAGAAATATTGCTTTCTAGAAAGAAGTTTAAGATTCACCAATGCTGCTCCTGACCAAGGGAAATATGTACAAGTTCAGCATTTTAATTAACTGGCTTCAAAGGGTACTGTGGCAACCAAATAAAATAATTCCATTTTCTAGAACTTTCATGTAACTTTTATGTCTGGACTACAGTTAAAGTGGACAAAAACATTTCTGTATTTTTTTTAAGTATATAAGAGTAGTTGAACTGAGCAATACCTCCTCCTGTGTTGTATTACACATATTAGCCACGAGTTTTTGCAGTGACTAGGTAACTTGAATTGACACGTGGTGTAATAAAATGGACAAATTCTGTAGAGTAGACACAGTGAGTATGTGGGCCTCTTTTATAAGAAAAAAATACATTTTGGATTAAAACCAATTGCTTTTGTCTTGTTTTTGTTTCTAAATAAAGAATAATTTCTGGGAAATGTCATCTGACCAGGTATCATTTAAATGACATTTTTTTAAAAATGTTTTTTTATAATGAAATTTGGTATCCTAAGACACTTTTATTGGGTTCTGTAATTACATTTTAATAAAACACAGAAGTGAATTTAGAGTTCTTTATCAGTATTGAAAGGCAATAACAACATTCTTTAACCCTATATTGACAGAAACAAATCCTCAAGGATATCATATATTCACTTAAATATTTTCTTAACAAGCAGGTTTTGGAATAGATTTAATTGATAAGTTCACATAATATAAATCCAATATCTGAGGAACTGAAAATTTTATTTTAATAATTAATAGTAGCTCAAATGAAAGCTGCTTGCTTTGCAAAAAATATTGCCATTTTTTCCAGGACTTATGATTTAGGTCTAATATTCAAATCTCTGTGATTCTAAACACTTAATGTGCCTGACTGAAGTAATAAGCAAATAATCTAATAATTTTCTGTGCTGCAAATGTAACAACCACATGAACTCAAAAAAAGGTAGATTTATATACTTGTATAGCAACTAACCTAGTTGATGCTGACTTGAAGTATGCTCTGATCAGATTGAACGGTTCTTTTCCTCAGGATAACAATTAATTTTAGAATTTTAGAAGATTAGGATTTTCTTAAGACTAGAATTTTAAAACTTTAAACATACTGGATTATTAATAGAATAAGTTTTTCAAGTACAATTTTCTGAAATTTTCCCTTTTATTTGGTTCACTGTCATATAAAAATGACATAAATCAGATAATTCCAGAGTTTAATAAAAATTTGAGAGAGAAGTTTCGGTAATAAAAGAAAAAGCTTCTAAGACTGATGTAGAGTAAAAGAGGGGCATCCGGGTGCACAGGTGATTGAGTGTCTGACTCTTGGTTTCAGCTCAGGTCATGACCTCAGGGTTGTGAGAACAAGCCCTGACCTCAGTGCAAAGTCTGATTAAGTTTCTTTTTTCCCTCTCCCTCTGCCCCTCCCTCCCATGAGTGTATGTGTGTGTGTGTGTGCATGTGTGTGCATGAGTTCTCTCTCTCTAATAAGTAAATATTTTAAAAACAGAGTAAAAGAAAAAGATTAAGTGTAGTTCTCTATGACTATATTTAAGACACCTAAAAAACACAGCTTAAAAAATGAGAATAACTGAAGTGCCAAAAACATTCCTAATTATTTAAAGAATCTAAAATAAGAAATAGAAAGATTTCATTTGCAGAAAATAACCAAAATCTTTTAGGGTTTTAAGTCATATTTCCAAACAAAACCCACAATCCTGCAAAATAAATGTATTTGTGTACAAAACAATATCCTGAAACAATAAAAAACCATCTAAGATAATAAGCCATACTTTTTACATGCAGATCACTTATCTCTACAAAGCTACAAGGCTTCCATGTTAATTGCTGCTGTGCCTGTTCATAATCAAACATTTAACTTTTCTTACAATAGCTTGGTGCATGTCATCAACATGTCACTGGCCTGTAAACACTTCCAGCACTGTAGTCATATCAATTTATTTGTTAATGTAGACATTTGCTTTTATGATAGCCTTGACAGTTTCTAATTAAATCCTGCTGTTTTTAACAATGTGGAAGGTAATTGTTATGAACTCTTTAAAACGAAAGGACAAATTGCGTTAATTTTAACACATCAAAATATGAAACTTGCTAATTCAATGTGTTTCCCAAACGCAAATTTTACAACCTGATGAATCACTATCACACAGCGGCTGACATTAGAATTTATCAGTAAGACATGCTCATACATCATGAGATGTTTCAGCACCACGGACAGAGCTTTTTAGAGCCAGGCTATTTGTCAAAAATATAAGAGCTGAAAATATGACCTATTAGGAAGCAGGTATTGCATAGGTCAGCAAGAACTTGTTCAGGTATCTTGTATGTTTCTTTTAAACCTATATGCCTGAAGAACTATAACAAACATAGCATAAAGCTTAAAATGCTTTCAAGCTACATTTTTCCTAGAAAACCTGTAGCAAGTAAGTACTTTGAATAGTTACCTAACAGTGAACACTGAAATGAAGTATCTTTGTTACAGCCGAATAAATACAGATGGTCAAAGCAAATCATGATCCTATTTACTTGCTTATAATTTAATCTGAATTGCCAGTGAGAACAAAAAGGCATTTGTTTCAATAATAAGAATGGTATTTCATACTCCCTATGTTACCTTCTAAACCTCACATAAAATTAAGCTCTAGTCAAAGTACTTAAAGTATATAACTTTCAATTTGGTGATACATATAGATGCAATGGCAAACTTTACCTATAACAAATAAAACTCTAAGTTTATACCACTGTGAATGTCAACTGATCTTCTCACCTTGTATGGAGAAAACCATTTTTTTCATAAAAATGATTTTTAAATAATTATATATTTTCTAATTTACACTATATAATAAAATTCAAATTTTCTGAAAATAAACATGTCTAGTTGAATACAAATAATGCATAAAACGAATGTGGAGCAAAATGTGTGATTGTCAGCAAAGCCAATCAACAGTATGTTGCCAGGCATGTGCTATTTTCCCTAGAAAAGAAATGAAATCCATTTATGGTATGTATATCTATCTTTTGACACTCATTTCAGTTCCTACAATTTTATTCTAATTAGATAAAAAGTTTTTAAGCAAAATTATATATCAGCAAGCATAAGTTTAAAATTATAATTCCTGGGGATCCCTGGGTGGCTCGGCAGTTTAGCGCCTGCCTTCCGCCCAGGGCGTGATCCCGGAGTCCCAGTCCCAGGATTGAGTTCTGCATCGGGCTCCTGCATGGAGCCTGCTTCTCCCTCTGCCTGCATCTCTGTCTCTCTGTCTCTCTCTCTGTGTGTGTGTGTGTGTGTCTCATGAATAAATAAATAAAATCTTTAACAAAATAAAATAAAATTACAATTCCTTAGTCTATTTAACTATATATTCTCTGGCTACTTTCAATAAATATTTACTGTATGGCTATTACTCCCTGGAAAAAACGAAGTGAACAGAACAAACTTCATGCATTAAGGAGATTACATTCTACTGGATTACATGCTGGTTACATACCACTGCTTTCATTAGTATGTGTTAACTATGTTACCTAGTAGAGAGTCCCAGCCTCAATCCGTATTCTCACAGAATATTAATACTCAAAAATATCACAAATTTTGTTCTTGCTCTAAAAAGATTTTACTTATTATATGTTGATGTAAGAACTTAATTCAAATTTATTATTGATCTTAACACACACACACACACACACACATACACACACACACAAATAGCAGCCTAATACTATCCTTAAACTGGTTAAATTAAAAGGCACTTAACTATGGAGAAAAACCTTAAAATTTCACAGATTAGCCTTTTACATGAAAAAAATCAGATATGTGAGTAACAAAGCCAATAACAAAAACAACTAGAAGTTTAAAGATATGTATTTGCTAAAGAAAGGGAAAATTCCAATGATATATCCTCACAGCTATCACAAGTATTAGAAAGAAAAAATTCTAATTGTATATGTCACTATTAAACAAAACCTTCAGCTTCAACCCAGTGTTGGTAGTCTACGAGATAAGGAATAATGAATAGTGATTAAATTGTGGCTAAATTTTCTTTCTTTTTTAAAAAAAGTATTTTATTTACTTATTCATGAAAGACACAGAGAGAAAAAGGCAGAGACAGAGGGAGAAGCAGGCTCCATGCAGGGAGCCCGATATGGGACTCGATCCCAGGATCGCCAGATGATGCCCTGAGCCAAAAGCAGATGTTCAACCGCTGAGCCACCCAGTCATCCCAAATTGTGGCTACATTTTCTTTGAGCAAATCTCAATCTCTCCCTCTCTCCCCCACTCTTTCCCATAACAAGTTATAATAGGTAAAAGTTTGTTTTAAATATACTTGCCAGATATGTTTACTATATCGAACATTCCAAAACCACAATGATCTTCTCTTCTACCACCATCTCAGATGGTAATATTCTCACCCTTAGTTCTACAACCTGTATTCTATATCATTTTACCCTGACTAATGCATTGATAACTAGGTCATTGCTTGGGATCATGGCAATATTATAGTGGAATGAAAGAACTATACCTAGAATCAAAATGTTATAATCAGCACCATGGAGCTCAGGAAAAAGAAAAAAACTAATTGGAGTTTCAACACAATAGTGGATGCTTTTGTGTGTTCATTTGTAAAGTGGGGACTATTATTAAGGGTGACCCCTACTTTGATTTATCTTACTCCTCTGAAGCAAGGGAAAAATAAAACACTATTTGTACCCAAGGATAAAATCACAAAATCAGAGTTCATCCTGAAAGTCATAATACATATAACCAATCCTAAGACAAATCATTAAAAGATAAGTGTTTTTAAAAGAATATTCCAGAGAAATATACATTATTTCCAAAATCTTGCCTAAACATTTTATTAATGACATCACAAAGCTCCTCTTGAATTGACTAGTAAGCATTCAGTATGCTCAGGTGAGAAGATCATATGAAATAGAACACGACTCATTTTTATTCCTACTGAAAATAGACAAGCCCACAGAGATTTGGATTTACTATTCTGGTTCACTTTACATACACATCAGAGGGCTCTTAAAGGTATGTTTGAAATAAGCCATATAGCCAATACCAACTAAGGGGTTAGATACATCACAGAAATATCAATACAACTTTTTCTTAAGAGTGAACTGAGGTATTTAAATAAGTAATAAATTCAGAGCAAATATCATATATGATTTCAAAACTAATGTAGAGTGGACAAAGTAGCAAAGCATAGCACAGAGAGTTATGGTTGACCGTGGCAAGCCTTCCAGGAGAATGAACTAAAATGGAATTTGAAGAACTCATGGTACTTTATGTGCTTCTATTTATCTTTTCTGACTCTGATATATCATCAAAAAACTAATAGTACTATGTGACCAATGTAAGGAAAACCCAGCTTCTCATTAAAACATATAGTTCAGGGGATCCC